AACTGGAATTTAAAATATTTATTTTTGCCTATAATATTTAATTTAAAATTAGCTAAAATCCAGCCATTTAAAAAAATACTTCCCGGGCGTAATCTATAGTTTGCAATAAAAACTTGGTTGCGCCACCTTTTTTATTTCTATCTCAACTACGAAATATTATATTTTCGGGTAGTGTTGTTAAACGGCTCCATTTGAGACGATTTTTAAAAACGGCTAACTCAATATTTTATCCAGATGAATATTAGGCAAGCCTAAAGATTTTGCTCAGAGCTGGCCCGAAGATTTAAACATCTCTAATAACGAGATCTCGAGGCTTGTTAGCAATATTTTTCCGGCTAAAATATTGAGTTAGCCATTTTTAAAAATCCACTCAATACGAGATTAGTTCATTTTAATTATTTATTTATTTATTTTTTTAAAAAAAGTCTTTTGAGATTTTAAAAATATTAAATAAGTATTATTTTTTTTAAAAAAATCAATTATTGATGAATTTTTTTGGATAAGATAAAAAGCAGGATTAACCTTAGAGGCTCTTCTTGTCTACTTAAAATTCTCCTTCCAAAAAAAATAATTAAAAAACTACAAAATTTTAATTTTGTTTTAAATTTTTTAAAAAAAAAACAAATTTCTCCGAAATATTTTTTTTTTTTTTTTTTGGATAAAATGTTTATTGAAAAATAATTTTTATAATTATTATTGTATTAAAGAAGATAATGAGAAGAACTAAGTATAAAATATAGCAAAATACACCTGTTTCTTCTTTGTAATATTATATTAATTTTTTTTTTCATTTATTACATTTTACAAACTTACATTACTACATACAACACATTTATAAAAAATTTCAGTAATTAAGTTTCATTTTTTTCGTTAGATTTGGGCAAAAATTAGTGTAAGGGGGGGGGGGGGCTCTAAAAGTTATAAACGAAAAAAAAAATAGGAAATTATTTATATTTTATTTATTTTTTTAAACTTCGTAATTTTTTTTGCTTTATTAAGCAATTATTAATTTTGTATAATTTATAATAATTTTTTTTTTGCTTAATTTTATTTAATATAAAATATTATGTCCCTATTATAGTTGTATATCTTTTACCTTTTTATACCTATCTAAAATACTAATAAATATATTCTTCTTTAAGGGATATAACAAAATAATGATAATTATATTATAAAAAGAAATTAATGTTTCATGTTTTTATGAGAAAAGAGAGTAAAAGATTAATTTATATATTTTTAAATATTATCTCTTAATTTTTTTTAATCATTATTTATTTTTTTTTAGACTTTAAATTTTTTAAAAAAACTTTGATAATAATAAAATAAAATATGTTAAAAAGATTATATTTTAACGAATTTTTAGATACTTCTGTTGTTTATATATAGTCATTTTTCGAGAAAAGATATTTTGATTATCATATAATAATAAAATTATAAATTTTTATAATTTGTAAAAATGTAATTAGATTAATGATGTTTCAAAAAAATATATAGGTACAAGTTTCATTAATTTTTTTTTGGTAGTTAGGAGACACAGGTGTATTAATTTATTTTTTTTGGTATAAGAAATTTTAGTTTGCGAAAAAATTATAATTTTTTTTTTAAAAAAATTTTTATTTTATTTAATGATCATTTTAATGATAATGGGTCCTATATTTTCAAATTTAATTTTTTGTTGGACAGAATTGCCAATTCTCGACCTTGATTTGTTAATTGAATTTGTTGGAATAAAGTGACATCATTTGGCTCCACTAGGATCCTCTAACAAGAGTTGATGGTGGGGGGGGGGAGTTAAACTGAAATCCAAGAGGGCTTTTGGTATTTTTTTTAAATTAAATCATATAAGACATTGGGGGGGGGGGAGGGGCTTGACTTCATTTCTTGGTTAGGTGTAGGTAGTTTTGCTAAACGGATCGATTTGAACCGATCTTTAAAAACCGCTAACTCGATATTTAATCCAAAAAAATATCACGGAACCCTGAGGATTTCTTCATAGATGGCACGAAGGTTTGGAACGGCTATTCGCTAAATCTCGAAGCTTGGGCCTTATTTTTTCTGATCAAAAATTTATCAGCCGTTTTTAAAAATCGCCTTAAAAACTGAACCATTTAACAACACTAGGTGTATAGGAATCTTGTTAAGACTCCATTTTTAAAGCTTGGGGATTAACTTGTTAAACATTAATTATAAAATACTTTTTAAAAACTTTACATAAGCAGTAAATTCAACATTTATATTAAAAAAAATTAACCTAACCTTGACCCTCTTTTTCATTTTTACGGAAAAAAAAAATTTCTATAAATTAAATTGCTTTCTAAAAAATTTCTTGGTTTTTGTAGGAAGGACACAACTCTTACAAGTTATATATTTAAATTCTACAATTTGTGTTAATTAAATCTATATCAGTGCTCTCTAGACCCCTACCCACCTCAAATGCTAAGGGGTCTCCAGGGTTGCCAAGCCCTCTCCCATCAGTGGGAGACTTCGCAATTTTTTTAGTTAACACGAAAGATATTAATTTATAAAATTTTATCTCGTTTCTGAGATCTAAGTATTTACTTTTATGTAAATATCTTAGGTAACTTTTACAAAAGAAGTAGAAATTTAAAACTGAGATTAGAATAATATTATAAGTCGAAATGATACTTGATTTTGCTACGTAAAATGAAGTTATAGGAATAAATGGGGAAATTTTTTTTATATCAAATTTCTCCCGCAATTTGAAAGATTTCTATCTGGATGATACCATGGGTCCCTCGGATGAGGAAAATTCTAAGTTAGATTGCGAGAAATGGATGACTAATGTCAGTTGATTAAGAAGGTAACCCCCCCCCCTCCCTTCCCCCAATATTTAATGGATCATGTTTGTTTTTTTTTTAAGTTTAGGACTTTTATAATGAAGTGGCGCGCACCTGACTAAAATTTGACTTTCTGAATAATCATAAAATAGAATCTACAATTCTTTGTAGAGAGTGATTTTTAGGCTGGGACAGGTTTACGCGTAACTATAATATGTTTTAAAAGTCCCGATCGGCGGATATTAGAAATGTTGTTTATTTTACACCCCGGCCCTTGAAAATAAGAATTTGTGTTTTGACTGTGTTTTATTAGGCGTGAGTGGTTTCGAGTTGAAAATTGAAGATTTATGAAAATGGAATGACTGTTAAGTCATTCATTAAAGTGGCATTTTTAACAACTGCTAAATTGATTAAATTTAAATCAACGCATTGTGGCTTCTCTCCTCGGGAGAAATACTGTGATTAGTTGGTGGTAAACCGCTCTATTTGAGTCGATTCTTAAAAACGGCCGACTCAATATTTTAGCTAGAAGGAAATATCGCCTAAGCTTTGAAACTTCGCTAATAGATGTCCAAAAGCTTGTGCTATCGGGATAAATCTTCATGCTTGCTAAATATTTCTTCCTATTAAAATAATTGAGTAAAATACGCTATTTTTTAAAAAATCTGACATTGGGTGGTACGTTAATCGCCTCGCTATCACAATTTTGTTATATTACCCTACCCTGTATTTAAGTGTATGTTTCTCTTCTATCCCAGTATAATATTTAATAATTTTTATAATTTCTAGCTTTTAATTTATTACGCAAATATATTTTTTGTAAATTACAAAAAACTAATAAAAATGATGTAATTAAATGATGATAATAAAGGGCCAAAAAAAAAATTATTTCATTTTATTTTTAATTTAGTATCTTCATTTTCCAAATTCACCCTCAAGGAAAATTGCATTATTTGCAATTAAAAATGTTTCTTTTTATGAAAATAATTTTTATATTTTTTTTGAGCGAGAAAAATTAGACCCTTTTCCGGTCTTATGTCGTTTCGCGATTGACATTGATTTTTCTAAACTAAAACTACTTACTGGTTGTATTTTTTTAGGATCATTGTGCCTCTTCCTACCTCAGTTTTATTTTCTTAGGAATTCATCGGCTAATAATTAGAGTAAAGGTTTAAGGTTATATATATTATTATTTTTTTTGTAAGTATATTGGACATCTAATAATATGCTCACGCCTTGTTCCATGTTTGAGGACTTCCTATTGATCAAACCTCACAATTCCCTAAAAAAAGATTAAAACACAATGATTGAAAAATCGTTCAAGACCTAGCTTAAAATGATAAATCATTTAGATTTTTTTTTTATGGTATTAAAGGTTCAAAAGCAATCAGTGAATTATTTTGAATTGATACAAAGATATATATATTAAAAAAACATATTTTGAGTCGGCCAAGACCTCGAAATAAAAAAAATAATGTGTAGGCGGGCCGGGCTTTAAAAATAAATTTAAGAATTCTGAACATTAAATTGAAAATTGCTGGGATTTATTTATAGTTTAATTTCGGGGAAAACCATAAGAATAATATCAATAAATAAGTAAAATAGTAAAGACTAAGAAAATGAAGCAAATTGATTTATAAATTATTTATTTTATTTTATTTTTTCAAAATGATAGCATATTTTTTATTTTTTATTTTCGTAATGTTTTCTTAAAATATTATTTTTTTTTTAAATTTTTTTTCTGTATTTTACTTTTTAAAAAATATTATTTTATTTTAAATATTTTTGTATAAAGACATTTAATAGAAATTTATTTACTTTATCCTTTTAAAATTAAACACTTTAATATGCTTCTTTTTTTTTTGTTAAAAATAAATAGATATATTTAAAAAGTTATTTTTTTTTCCTACTCATTTCTCGGAATGTCTAAAACGGAGATTTTATATTTTAGTAGAGGAAAAAATAAATTATAATAATTAAATTAAATCTGTTAAACTTAGCTAAATAAATTTAAAATATTATGACAAATAATACACGAAATAGTTATAATTTACTATATTTCTAAAAAAAAAAATTGATTGCATTCCACTAACAAACTTTTAAATAGAATCCCAATTTTTTAAATACTGGTTATAATATTCAATTTCTAATTTATTATTTTTAATAAATAATTAAAATATTATAAAATGCTGAAAAATATAGAATTGGTTCCGGAACATTACAACGGGATCAACCCTATAGGCACTAATCTGAGCATATTCAACTCCAAATACGCCAATTCTTTGAAGACCTCCGATAAAACTACCCAGTTAATAAAGGCCAAGCAAAATGGGAATGACCTATCCTCGCATCACCTCAACGGAAATTCTTCAATTTTAGCCTCGCAAGGCGAAAACCATTTTTCTAATAAACCGCTCTCTTTTCGGCACAACAGGTCATCGTCTCCGGATTATCATAAATTTCCCGCTAATCACGAAGAAGGCGACAAAGAGGAATCGTCGAATGGATTAAAATCGTCTCCCGCTTCGAATAATAACGACACTGATATCAGCACTGGCTATAACGTCAAAACAGAATTGAACGGTCACGAGAATCAATCTGCCAAAGAATTATTCCGACCGCCATCTTGTGCCACCAATGAAGATATCGTCATTAAAAGAGGCCTGCACCTGGCCCACTCCATCAGCGTCAAAAAATTGGCCTTGAAAATGATGCGAAAATCTTTAAACGCCAACCCTTGCAAAAAAAACACTGGCAGCGATAAACAGAACGGGAGCCATAAAAACAGGGTCGATAAACGTTCCGATATCGCTAGCAGCCCTGCTAAGGGAAACGGAAATGAAAACGTTAGCACCGATTACAATTGTGATACCTACGCTGCAAAGTGTAATAGCCATAATATATTATTCCGCAATGATTTGGAGATGCGGAAGATGTTAGATTTTTGTCGCTGGGAAAAAAGTAAAAACACTTTGCGTCATAACCAACCCGAGTTGACCGAGTTGGAAACTTACGATAAGAAGGCGTTGAACGGCAGATTTTTGAAATACCTAGATAAGCGCAAATTTTTGGAGGGCAAATATAAAGATAAAACGGCGCGTTCTTCCCCTTCGCTGAACAACGAAACTTTTACTGGAAAATTTCTGACGCTCTCACACGAAACAGGAAGCGATAATAGAAGCCATTTCCCATTATTTCTATGCGATTTCAATTTCGATATCCGGCAGAATAGGCTTAAATCTCTGCATCTCAACCGTTTATTTGATCGTGCTGATGCTAAACAATGTGATACGGAATTTAAACTTATAGGTGAAGACATCTCCTCTTTAGCTTCCACTGTAAACGAGATCTTCATATTTGGTTGTGCCAAGAGCTCTCTCAATTATTTTGGTCAGACCCTAGGCAAACTAATGTCCCACAAAATATGCGAAATTTTGAGCCAACACAGCCACTACAGGCCATCGGATAACTGGCTCCTGGTAATTCACTTATCGACTAACACTTCGAATATAAACAATAATTCTTACGATTTTTTGCCTATCAGGGATGATTGCGCCGAGATCGGGAGAGAGATCAAATCTTCTCTTTTGGAAGTTTTCAGGGAAACGCCCGTTCTACTCTGCCTCATATGCAGGCGCATAATATTCCGTAATTTGGATAATTTCGCCCACTGGACTGACCACTGTGTTAATGCCCACAACCTTGCAAAAGATGATGACCTCTATGAGCTCTTCGTTCAGAACGGTCATCATTGCGCGGAAAACGACGATTTTTACATCATGTACCGCGTAAAACCCGATGACGAAATGGGTCAAGGTGACATCGATATAAACATTAAGACTACCACTAACCAGAGGCTATTTAAGGATATCTGTATATCCTCCGCTAAAATAAGTCGTTGCTTGTTCCACAACGTAGACTTCCACACTACCTCACCCCATAACCATTACTCATATCGCTGCTCCGATAAACTAACAATTAACCACGATGGCACGAATGAACCCATTTCACCTACATCGTTTCAACAATTAGTAGATCCCCTCCTAAATTCCTTATTTCCGGAAAATACCTCTAAAGCATCAATTATAAATGACATGATATTTAATAACCTTAACCCATACTCGTTTCCCTCGTCATTTTTTCCCCCGCCTTCCTCTACTCCTTTTTCTTCTCACATTCCAAATTTCATCGATTGCTCAAAAATGTCCGACATTATTACGACCCACTTACATCATCATCCTCGTCCTAATGTCAGACCCCAAAACATTCCCTCACTAATTTTGCCGCAAGAGTCGGTACATGCCAAAATCAAGAATGGTGATAGCGAATTCGCCGCCAATCAAGAGGGCAGTGAGACAAACGATGAAAAAAGGTTGTCCGATAAAGAATTAGCATCAAAAAAAAGCAACAACGACAAGCATTGTCTCGTTTCGGTGACAGCTAAATACTCAAAAGATTCTAACATTAAATTACCAACTACCTCCTCTCAATCCACCGAAGCTTCTCCAAACTCTTACAGGACTCCAGTTTCCAAACAGACATCCAATCGCGAGAGAGAAAGTCCCCTTTCCGATAATTCTCATCTATCGAATTCGAATCTCTTCACTAATCACCTCTTATCTGCAGGAACTGTTGAATGCCCTAAATGCGATTTGGTTCTCGGTTCTTCCCGTTCCCTGGGCGGTCACATGACTATGATGCATTCTCGTAACTCCTGTAAAACACTTAAATGTCCCAAGTGTAATTGGCATTACAAGTACCAAGAGACACTTGAGATTCACATGAAAGAAAAACACCCGGTAGCTTCGAATGGGCCAGCGGCTTGCGTCTACTGTCTTAACTCTGAATCCCACCCCCGTCTAGCCAGAGGCGAAAACTACAGTTGTGGGTACAAACCCTATAAGTGCGAGATCTGCAACTACTCAACAACAACTAAGGGTAACCTCAGCATTCATATGCAATCGGATAAGCATGCCAATAACGTCAACGAAATGCGGTTAGTCAAGGATAAGGCCGAGATTTCTGACGTCCCATCTCTAACCGATAAGCTGGATGATTTTATCGAGGAAGAAGCAATTAGTAAAAGCCTTAACATTCAAGGCATGGATGAAAACGATAAATCTGAATCCACTTTGGAAGATACGGCTAATAGGGATGTTGAAATTAATGACTTCAGCGAGAAGTCTGCTTTATTATCTTCTCCTTATTCCTCTTGCAAGACTTCTAACAGGGTGAGTATTTTTGGTGCCACTAAAATGAAAAGAATCTGTAAGCTATGTCCCTTCGAGGCAGTTACCATACGAGATTTGAGACTACATATGATGTCAGGTGCACATCTAGCGCCTTGTCAGACCTCCAAGCCAAACTCGGTCCAATATTCGGTAATAATTTATACTTTTTAAATGCCAATCATTTTATTTTATTTACTTTTTTTTAAATGCTAAGGAATCCGATCATCTTCTTTCATCTCCCGGTAAGAGCATGTCCGTTGAGAAGCCTCTGTTCGCAGCGCTATTCGATTTGGACGCTAAGAAAGTTGAAAGACCGAGATTGCTCCTCTTGATTTCGCTGTTGGCTCAAGCTTTGCACCGGAAATATGGTTTGAAGGCCGCCATCGAAGAGATCAAACAAAAGTTCACTAGAAAATGGTCGAAAGATTCTCGAAGCAATAATGACGATGCCGTTAATCATGGTTTTTTCGAAAACACTTATGCCTGTTGCGTGTGTTACAATTATTCGTGTTCCGATATCGAAAGCTTAAAAATTCATATGGCGGATGTGGAGTTCGATGAGGAATCCCTCGCTAATCCTGGTATATATGTATATTATATAATTCTTTTATAAATATCAGAGACCTGCAGAGGTACCATTTCATTTGCACGACCCGGTCCGTGTCCCCGGGCTTTGGGTCGGGCTTAGTGTTGTTAAACGGCTGAGCCAAGCCGGTTTAGCCGAAAACTCGGCCGGTTTTTGAGCCAAAAAGCCGTTGGGCTTTCAGGTCTCTCATAAATATATTATTATTTATTACTAGTATCCTTCTTTTATTTTATTTAACATATATACCAAGTTTCATGGCCATTATAAAAATTATGAAAAGTCCAAAAAAGAAATGTATAAACAATATGTATAAAATTTCTTTTCTTTGTTTTTTTTTCTCTTCTAATAAAGAGTGATATTACTCAATTTTTTTTAAAACAATACAAACTAGCCCTATTCCAATATCCATGTTTTCTTCCTCACCCCCCCCCCCTTCTCCTTTTTCTAAAACGGGTTGGGTTTGTTAACATGGGGCATAATATCTAAACGCGCCACTTATAAAATTATGATTCGATTTATATATTATGCGTTACGGTATATTTCTTCCGACGAAGATTCTTGCGCGTGTCGATTATTTCCCTATATCGATTTTTTCTTGTATAAATTTAAAAAAAAGAGTTTCATGGCGACTTGAGATTCAGAGGGTAGTTGCTAAGTTTGCTCTACTACATGCGCCCAATTTAAAAAAAAATTGCCCTCCTGGGTGAATTTAAGATTTGAGAGAGGTTCCGAATTCCACTTTGCCAATTCTCGGATAAATCGTTATTCCAAAATCCCCTCCCCACTCTCCTCCCACCCCTAAGAGCGAGATAAAAAAATGAGGCCTGGGGGAGGGGGGGTGTGTAAGGGATTTTTCTTTAAAAATAACTAATTTAAAGCTATTTTATTAATTAAATTTTTTTTAATATATTTATTTTGATCACCGAAGATCCAATTCGTGTAATTAATTAATTAATTTTTTTTATTAAAAAAAACGCGTTTTTATATAATTACATAACATATTATATAAATAAAAATAATATAACATTTTTTTTCACATTTTTTTTTTGAAAAAAAATGTATAATACATATATATAATTAAGCGTCCCCTTACATTTTTATACATTAAAAAAAATTAATTTAAAAAAAAAATGCAATATTTGCGCAATCTTCCCCCCCCCACTCCATTTCTGTCTAACATGAACGAAGAAGCTGTAGGAGTTATTTGCATCTATTCTATTTATCTCAAAGCGGGTGGGGGTTGTTGGAATTTGTTTGGAAGGATTGCTACTCATGCATTCTACCCCTTATCAAGTGTTGAATAAGCCGGATATGCCAATTTCGTAAATATGATTTAAGAATGAGTCGAGATTTCATTTATTTTATAACAAACTGACCGAACTTTTTAACAACACCCTTCCCGTATGGTTAAGGTTATATGTAATGTATAGGCTTATATTTATGCACACGTGGCACTTATAATTTTATCAATTATCAGTGATTTAGCTACTAGCGGACAAGCGACTTATTTATTTATTTTTGTGAGATTTTTCGAAAACACATTTTGTTTCTAAATATCATTTACATATTTTACTCAACGTTTAAAAATGAAAATACTGTTATAATAATATACTTAAAACTATATATAATAATTGTAATGATAAATATTATATTAAGAATTTTTAATTAATTTTTTTTTATTATCGATTAAATACGTTTTTAATTAATTATTTTGCTATTCTAGCGTTAATTAATGGATTATATTATTTTACTATTAATGTAATGGTATACTCTATTATTATTATAAATACTTAAAGCATTGATTTGAAAGTTTTTTTATTAAAAAGAAATTATATGTGTATTAAAAAAACAAACAATAATTGATTGAATTGGAAAAAGTCGGAAAACGAAAAGATATAAATAATTTTCAAGTCTTAACGGGGAGAGAACACATTTTAACTTTTAATTCAGTTATTTTTATGCCGTTTTTCTCGAAAATTCGGGCCTGTCGGTAGACTAGTCAATCATAAAAGTCAATTACGAACTACCAAGCTTTAATGATTCTTCTTTTTTTTTTAACAAACCCTAATTAGTAGTTTGATCAAAATATATAATGTCCATTTGCCGTTTGAAACGATTTACAAATTGCCGTCAAAATTTTAATCGTGGTTCAGCTGGGCTTAAAAAATGGACATTTATTGTTTATCATTTAATATGGACTGCGCCAAAAAATTTGAAGTTACTTGCGCAAGAAGGAAAGGGAAGGGAAAGAAAAGGATGCCAACAGATTGAATCAATATGTGTTGATGTTTAGAAAATTTAATAACATTTTTTTTTTATTATTTATTTGTCTCATGTCTGTTCTGTTGCCTTAACTAACGCGACAGCAATTATCTCACGATCATAATTTTTGATTCTTCAATTAAAGATTAATTAATTATTTATTTATTTTTTGGAAAATATCATTAAGTGTGTATACTATTTATAGTTTTAATTACATATTCTTCATATCTCTCCTCTCTCTTTTCTTTTTAAAAATATATAAAAATATTGATTTTATTAAATTTAAAGTCAAAATTTTATTTTATTTTTTTTTTGCATTTATTTTAATGTTTATTTATGTATAACATTAATGAAAGAAATATTTTAATTTATTAAAAATTTTCATTTTTTTTAATTTTCCAAAAAAATAAAAATAATTTTTATTCGAAATTTATTTACGACAAAAAATTAAAAAATTTCATTATTTTCCCCCCTATAATTTGTTGACATAATTATTTAAGAATAAATAGGAAATTTTCGATTACAAATAATGCTCATTTCACATTTTTAGATTTGGCGAATACTAGCAAAACCCTGGCAGAAATCTACTATCAACATTCCTCTAAAAGTACTATATGCTATAAATAAACGCTCTATATATATTTATGTAAATCTTTGCGAAAATACTTTAAAAATTAAATATTTAAAATAAATATATAAATATTTTTTTTAATTTTGTCTACCAAATAAAAAAATATTATATAATTTTTAAATAATTATTAAAAAAATATATAAATTTATTGATTTTTACCATAATTTTCTTTTCTATTTTTAATATTAAAAAAAAATCATATTTACTTCTTTTTTTTCGATCGTAAGGGACTTAGTGTATCTTTTAAAACTCAAAAATATAATTTTAAATAAAAAAAAAAAATTAAGAAAATTTCGATGGTTTATTTTTTTCATAATTTTTTTTGTACCCAAAGATGGCGGTGCTAAAAATAATGACAACAATAATAATCAATGGTTATTAGACTTGTTTCGATTAGATAACGCTACCGAGCCTGGAAACCATAGCCAAACGCTACCCCGAATCCGTTCGCGCGACAGCGGTCTGTTCCCCAAAATATATTGCACGTTGTGCGATAGATTTTTATCCCACACCGAGCAATTGGAAAACCATGAGTCCTCACCTTTTCCACCCGCGACATCCCCGCGCCGCTATAGCGGAGAACCGAAAAAACCTGGATTGAATCGGCGATTCGATCACCATTTCGACTTGCTCGCCATTTCCCGGAAGTGCGCCAAAACTCTGCTCTCCATCCCCCAGGGGTACGTGGGCGACTTAAACATTTTGAATAACATTGAAAAGTCGGAGGAAAAAACGCTCATCGAAAATGATGACGATAAAAATATGACTATATCCTTATCCAATAATTTGAAGTATTCTTCTTTCGACTCATTGAGCGGGGACCAATTAACCCCACCCCATTGCTACGTTACCTTTTGCGAATCACATTCTAAACCTTGCGTGAGCCCGCTAGACGTCGTCCGTCATCTTGCTTCTCACCGCATCGATTCCGAAAATAGCCATCCTTCCGAAAACGATTTAGTCGATTATTCCGGGAAAAAGGCTGCCATCGATTGCCAAATTTCGAGGAAAAGTATCCCGCCAGAAAATTACGAAGATATAATGCTACGATCTCTCTTGTCCCACACGGACCTAGATTTCAAGGCCTTAAGAGATGCCAATTTTATGGGTAACATTTTCAACGGCACATCCGACAACGCAAAGGAATACACGGCCGCCTTGAAATTAGCGGGGATGACAGAAACCGACGCCGGTCCTAATGGCGACGCAACAATGGATAATTCGGGTAAATGATGAATTTATATGTATTTGGTAAAATCTCTAAAAATGGTTGTTAAACGGTTCGATTTAGTCCAATTAGAAACGGCTAACTCAGATTTTAAGTAACGTAAAATACTAAAATACTGAGGTTTTACCCTACAGGCGACATAAAGGTTTTGGACACATCTATTGCCAAATTTCAAGGTTTGTAATAATATATTGGCTAAATCTTGATTTGACCGTTTTTAGAAAAACCGGCGAAATTGAGCCGTTTAACATTATTTTTGCCATTATGACCTTAATCGACCTACCGGGGCTATATGAGCCTAGTAAGTTGGTTGTAACCATGATTAATCCTCGATATAATCTGTTCAGTATAAATAATATTGTATAATAATAATGAAATTTATATAATAATTACGCTCCTTTTTATATATATATATATTTTATTGATTATTTAATTACTTAATTAAAGGTAGTTATAATAAGTATATAACAGTATTTTTTTTATTATTATTGTAATAAGATTATAACTATAAGTAATGATAATTACCTTTTGAAAAAAAAATAATCGTTTTAAAATTTTATATATTTATTTTTTTTTGACTCGCGGTTTTTAGCGGCTCAACAAAAAAAAAATAGGATAAAAAAATTCGACATAAATATATTGTATATTTTTTTAGGGGTAAAACCGATGCTGTTTATTATACTCAGAGACCTACAGGTAGTGTTGTTAAATGGCTTGTTTTGAGCCGATTTTTAAAAACGACTAACTCAATATTTCGTCCAAAAAAATATTACGCAAGCCTCAAGATTTTGCTCATAGAAGGAACAAAGGTCTAGGCATATATTATCGAAATCTCAAGACTTATGCAATATTTTTCTGGCTAAAATATTGTTTTCTGGCTAAAATATTGAGTTAGCCGTTCTAAAAAATCGGCTCAAAATGAGCCGTTTAACAACACTACCTGCAGGGGTACCATTTGTCCGGCTCGGCCCGGTTTATATTTTCATGCTCGGTCTGACCCGGGTATATTTGATACTAGATTGGCTATTCCATTAATTAAAAGTAAACATTTACGTGGGAGACCTGGAGTGTCATTTTTTTGTGGCGACTAAATGTCTCCATTCTACGAATGTGCATTGATGCCATTTAATCGACCGCGCAACAAACCACAAAATGGCGCTACAGCTGATTCGTATGTATAGACACTTTTAAATGCGTTTAATGATCGAAATCGCCAATATGAATAGTATATATATACATTCGATCTTTTATTTTTCTACAGTGAAGAAAAGAAGAAAACAAAAATTTAATTAAATTTTTTATTTTTTATCAATCAGAAAAAATATTTTTAATTTTATTTTTGACAAAGTTTATGTGTCAAAAATAGAAAATTATGACCTATGATTTGGACAGTCTTTTTAATTAAAAAAAAATTTACTTTATTATTTTCTTTTTCTTTACTTTATTAATGAAAAACGGTTATATTAGATTATATGGATTATTAAATATAAAAACGAACGTTTACTTACTACTGTATTTTTTTTTTAAAAAAGGACCAAAAATTTAAAAAAAAAAGATATCTTTTAGCGACAAAGCTTAAAATAAAAATAAAAAATACAATTATTAAACTAAAGCAAAAACTTAAAAACATACAAATAAAAAAAAATAGCGGAAATTTTAGTTATAATATCAGCTCTAAACCCAACCCCCAATTTTTGAATTTTCGTGTATTGTAAGGTTTCGACCCGAAATTCCTAAGAAATTCACTTATTTTCTTTAAACTTGGCAATGTTTATGTAAATTGTTTCAAATTATCCATTAAATTAATTTTTTCCCAAAAATTGGTTCTTCCCAGGGTTTTGTAAGGCACGGTCCCGATTTTTAAGATTTAACGATTTTAAGCTATCCGGTCTCTTATAATATTACGACAGACAACTTTCTCGGTAATGATTTACAAAGGCACTTAAAGCCCTAAAAGACGGGGCTCGAGGCTAAAAAAATAAATTTATCGAATTTAGGTTCGGGGTTAAAATATAAGATCTTGTCCGGCCCTGCCCTAAAAATATCGATGGCCTTCGGTCACGAACCTTTAAATACAGCTCTGACCAGAGCGAGCCTTGGGTTATGATTCTAAAACCTGAACCGGATGTTTGTCCAAATTTTTTTTTAAAAAAAGAATAATGAAATCAATTAAATCAAGTTGGAAAATTATTAATAATTGATCGTTTAGGCATTCATTTTTGCTGCTCATATGTTTCAATTTTCTGTAAGTGGGTAGCCAATGAGCAATTTCTACATCGATTACCATTTTTTGTTTGAGCCCTAGTGGAACCGACATTTTCCGGAAACCAATAAAGATCCGGATTTAGGAGTTATTATATATCTCTAAAATGAGTGCTCTTTCCACTTACCCTAACCTTTGAAATGATAAAACATGGTTTTGAAACTGGGACCAGGTCGGGCAAATTTTTAAAAAAAAGTAACGGTCCCGGTCACGGCAAAAATAAAACGGTCGGCTAATTCTACGTGAAAAAAATTTACGGGGCAGGTTGGACCCTCAATAAATTTAAAATATCGGGCTAGGCTTTGCAAAATCTCTGATTTTTTTTTTTTATATTATAAAATTTTGATGGAGCTTGCTTGGGCATTTTATTTTATTTTTTTAAAAAAAAAATCTTTTTTTTATAAGCTAATTAATATATTGATTTTGATTAATTTACTATTTGAGAAAAAATATATCACTATATATATATTTATATATATATGCTTATTTCTTTAAATTTTATGAGCTGTCTGTCTAACTAAATTTACTTTATAATCTATAAATAGAAATAGTAAATTCGCAAAAAAATAAAAATTGAACAAGTTATTTAATGATCCAATAAAAAATAGACGATACCTATTTTCAAAACACAAATTGATTTATAAATCGGTTGATATCAGAGACCTTCCCTGATTTTTTTTAAAAAACCCGGCCCGACCCGACCCGGGTTTTATATTTTGGGCCCTGCCCGGATTTCTTTACTTAATAATGGCGATTTTAAAATATTTCGTTTTAAGATATTCGGCCCGGTCTAGGCCCGGTTAGCTCTGCAGGTCTCTGAATGTTATATAAATAAACCATAGGGTCGAGATATAAGAGCCTAAATTGACTTTGAGGAAAAAAAAATTAAATAAAGATATATATATATATATATACACATTAAAAATATGCTGGCGGTAAAATTGGTCTTCAAAAAATTTAACGGACCGGAACCCTGACTTTTCTTATTTTAGCAACCGGAAAACTTGTGCAAAAAGTCCTTAACTGTTCGGAACCGGGCTTTACATATTCTCTACTTCTAATTAATTAATATAAAACAATAACAATTTTTTGGCATCGCACGCTATATTATACAATTTTTCCACAAACTATAAAATTAAAAATTAATTAATAATTTTATTTATTTATTTTTAATTAAAGTAAATTTTTTTAAAAAAAATAAAAATTAAATTAATGTAAAAATTAAATCGTAATTATTTTTAGCGATTTTAGTTAGGACAGAAGTAATTAATAAAAATTTTAATTTTTTATATTTAATCTTAATTTAATATTTATCGATTGAAAATTCCGGACATGGCTCGAGTCAAAATATCAACAAAATCAAGGGAATTTGACTATTTATTGAAATTCTCTTCCTTTCTTTCTTTCTTTCTTTCTTTCAATAACTCTCGCTTTAAGCATTCTCAAAATTAAATTTGCCATTATTCGGCTATGTCCCTTAGACGATGCCACTAAAATGACCCACCCCCTTTTTCCCCCCGTCCTCCAAAAATAAATAAATTTCTTCTATTTTATTTTATTTCTTTTCTAAAAAGAAAATTTTAAATTGATTTTATTTTTCAAGAAAATATTTAATTAATTTTATTTTTTGAAGAAAAAATTTTAAAATTGATTATTTATTTATTTTATCAAATATAATTATATTCCGTTTCCCTTTTAGATAACTAAATGCTGTTTTCTCTTTGTTTTCCATCTTTTCCCCTTCATCTCGCATATGAATGAAGTTGATAATCATTTAATTAATTAAGATATTTAAATAAGAAAATAATTTGTTTATATAAAAATCATATTCATTTTATTCCTAATACCCTACCCCCCTCCCCACCCCCTCCTCCCATTGCTCATTTAATGGAAAGGGAAGAGAGGAAAATGGAATATGGAATCGAAAATCTTTAAATTATTTTTTTTTTCTTCTTTCTTCTTTTAAATTAACTAAGTATATATTTTTTTTTCTTTCTTATATTTAATTAAAAAATGTGTATTTTTAAGAAATTTAAAATCAATATAATAAATTAATTTTTTTAAAAAAAAAATAAAATAAATTGGATTACGAGTGTACTTACTTATTAATTATAATTAGCAAAAAATTATCAAAAATCAATTAAAAATTTTTTTTTTTTTTTTGTTATTTTGGTTTTTTAGAATGTTATTCGACTGGCAATCGGGATTTTTGCGGGAAGGTTCAGGAAGGGCGCGATTATTTTAAGCCAGATTTTTTAAAACGGCCGAACTCAACATTGTAGTCAGGAAAAATAATGATAACTTAAGCCTCGATATTTCGCTGATAGATGTCCAATAACTTGGATCATCTATTAGCAAGATTTTCAGGCTTGTTGTAATATTTTTTTCTGCGCGGAGTTCTATATTTCAAAGCTCGAATCTTTATTTTTAAATTCCTTATTTTCTAGCCCTTAGGCTCCTCAGCCCGTGAAAGAAAGGAAGGAAAAGGTTTTTTTCAACTGGTTTGTAAATTTTTCTATCTTTAGGCTCATCCCGCCCGAATTTTTTAAAATTAAACACATGTTGTAGGGTCCGCTCTTCAGGTCTCCGGGTGAGTTGGAAGGGGGGGTTAGAATAGTTTTTAGCCCCTTCCTCTGTTTTTTTTTGTTTCCAATTTTTTTTTTTTTAAATTTTATATAAATAAAATCGTAATTTTTAAAAAAAAAACGAAAAAAAAAGAGTAAATATTATTAATTGAATTCTTAGAATTTAATTATTTAATAAGAAAAAGAAAGAATAGAAAAGCAAAATTAATTTTTACAATTTCCCCGAAAAATAAACACCTTAACTCAAATAATGTTTGTCTTTTCTTTATTTTTTCCATTTAATTTTTTTTTTCATTAACGAAAATCGGCCGACATATTATTTTGACTCATCATAAAATTAGTAATAATTTTCAAGTTTTTACCCCCTATATTAAATATTAAAATTTTTATTTTTTTACTTTTTATAAGGAAATAAAATCTCGTTAAAAATAAGAAATGTAAATGAATTATAAATAATTTTTTAATTTTTTTTTTATTATTAAAGGGCAAAATTTCTTTTATTTTTATTAGTTATTTTAATTTTTAACTTTAACAAAGAAAAACGTCTCAAATTTTTTTTTTAATGTTATTTTATAATAAAATAATGATTTGTTTTTTTAAAAAATAAAAATATTATTCTGAATTTATTAATATTATAAATTATATCGGGTTTTAAAAAAGAATTTTGTAAATTTATTTTATTCCCCCCCGAAAAAAATTAAATAATTTCCGTTTTTATTTTCTTCTCAAATTTGATTATGGTGACGCAGCTTTATTGGAATTGGCGCGATCTTTAGCCCTGAAATATAACTCGCCTTCCACGGTCACCCAAAACGATACACATAACGACTCGGGCATCGGTAGTACAAATACCCCTCCGATTTCGGCGTCGGCGTTGTCCCCTTCTTCCATGCTTAAAATGGCGTTAACGTTTCCTTCCGGCGGCAAACACATTGGCGCGGGATTTCATTCGGATAATATGGGACGAATCCCCAATTTCGATAGTCATTCCCATGCTTATCATCGTAATCGTAAAGAAGACGAATCGCGCGAAAAAAACCTCGAAGGAGGCCCACCCATCCCTTCCTCATTACCATTATCATCTAGTCAGAAGAACGATCTCGATCCACGAAAAAATAACCGCTTGAGCGACGAAAACCCTCCTCCCCCCAAATTAGCGGAAGATGGTGACCAACACGAAAATAAAGCTTCACCTCACAACGAAGAGAGTTCAAAAAATTTCCCCGCACTCGATGATGCTATAAAAGTAAATAAAAAAAAAAGAAGAAATTATTTTTCCTGTATTTAAATATTTGGGCTCCCCCAAGAAAGATAGGGTTCAATTGTTTGGGGTGGGGCCTAGTTAACTTAAGAGAATTTCTGCCCAAATGAGACCCACTCTCTTTTTAATAGTGTTGTTAAACGCTGGCTCTGTTTGAGCCGAAATTTAAAAACGTCTAACTCAATGTTTTACACACAAAAATATTGTTTAAGTCCCGAGATTTCGTTAATAGATTTTCAAACCTTTGTACCACATGTGGACAAAATCTTAAGGCTTGCATAATAATTTTCCTGATAAAATATTGAGTTAGCCGCCGTTTAACAACACTAACTTTTTAAAAGAAATAACCTTCCATAAGGATATTGTTTACATTTTTATTTACATTTTTACAGTCGGAAGAAAACCCACCTGACCTCTCACAACTGCCCAATTATTCGAAACAATTAATTTCCGCTACGACCAGCGAATCCCAAATTTCAACCAGTATCGGCAAGAAAAGCATTCCTATCAGATTAAAGTAATAATATTATAACAGATAAATTATAATCGCGGGCTTTTAGAAGGCTCGGACCCCATTCTGGCATTGCCTTCTGCTGCCGTGATCATCATTCCATTGAATATGAACAAAATAAAATACGCGATAATACCTTGAAGCCTTTTTTTATGCAATAAGAAAAAATTAGGATTTAAACGGTAAATGTAACCTTAACCTTTTATAGTATTAAATTGCTCGATTTGAGCCGATATTTAAAAACGGCTAACTTAATATTTTATCCAGAAAAATATTACTCAAGCCTGAAGATTTTGCTCTCATACATGGGCACAAAAGTTTTGGATATCTATTAGCCAAATCTCGAAGCTTAGTCCATATTTTCCTGGCTAAAGTATTGAGTTAGCCGTTTAAAAAAAAATCTGTTCAAGCCGTTTAACAATCACTATCGACCTATCGACAACTGACGTATTTTTCTGAGCTATATTGTATTAAGAATGCAAACAGCTGATTTACTTTTCCTTGAGCGACAATGTATTTAAGACAACTGTCTCAAATCGGAGTACATTGCTTGCGAATAAGAAATCAGCTGTGGACACATCTTTCCTCCCCCCCCCCCCTTTTCTTTTAAACATACATATTTTGAAGAATAATCGGAAAAAAATACTTTTTGCCTAATTAGGCCTGAAATCAAAAGTGACGTAACCGAGTTTTTAGCCCCAAAAACTGTATAAGTCTCAGTTCGAAAGTTTTGGCCAAATATATGACTACTTGAGGAAAGCCGGGAATAAAATCTACCCTGCTCTTCAATACTAGGCCATAAAGGCGCTCAACATTTAATTTAATTTTAGATATTAATAATATAGTTTAACTACCACCAGGGCTGTCAACCAGAACCCATTTAGGGTTCGGTTTCGAGAATTTATTTTTTTGTAAAAAAAAAATATTAAAAATCATTTCTAAACTATTTTAAAGCCTAATTATTTAATTTTGATATATTTAAAAACTTATTTTTCTGTGAAAATTTTTGGATATTTTCGTGGAATCATTTTTATTATATATTTTAGAGCACTCCATTTTATATTTAAAAAAAAATTTTTTGCAGGCATTTGTTGAATAATGGCTCTATTTGAGGGCTGATTCAATATTTTAACCAGGAAAATATTGTCTAAGCCTCGAGATTTCTCTAATTAGATGACCAAATCTTTGTGCCCATCTATGACCTAAATCTTCGGGCATTGCGTAATATTTTTTCTGGATAAAATGAGTTGGCCGTTTTTTAAAAAATCGGTTCAAAATGAGCTCCTTAACAACATTATACCGACACGTAGGCTATTGATTGTTTGTTAGATTATTAATTTAAAAGTAAGACATAGGCTATTGATTGTTTGTTAGATTATTAATTTAAAAGTAAGACTAAAAGGAACAAATTCCACAAAGTAAAACAGTTTTTTTTATTAAACGCAAGTTGCAATTGCACTGTCAAAGTAAGTCGTTAAAAAAAATCGATAGTTTAATTTTAGCCAATAGATTTTTGGAAGATATGATAATTCACTTATAAAATACCTTTAGAAAAAATTAAAAGTATACTAAGCAGTGGCGTCGCTAGGGGGGGGGACGCGCAGGCGCTCGAGCCCCCTGAAAAATTAATAGCCCCCTGAAGCAAAAAATTTTTTTTAATGGCTCCTTAATATCACCTTGAACTAAAAATAAATTTTTTGATTGCCCATTGAATGATTTCTTTTATAATTCTATTGAGTAATATATAGATTTAATTTTATAATTTAAAAATTAATAAGTCTATCTAAATTATTTTTAAATGAATACTATTTTAATTATTAGATTAGATTAATACTTGTAAATTATATTTTCGCTGTGAGCTTGCAATCAAATTCTGTGTTAAAAATAGAATATTAATATCACTCACTAAATATTAATTTAGCATTAACAAGCTTTATTGACTTTTATTATTTAATTAATATATAACCCTAATTAAATAAATATTTTATGAAAATTAACAAATTTAATATTGTAATTAGCCGAGTTCAAAATCACTAATCAACTATATTATTAATATTTAAATTTAATTACCATGCTTCTACTTAAAATTATTTTCAAGGTCCAAATCCAAATAAGTATAAAGATTTATTTATAAAAAGTAAGTAAACATATAGTTTATAATCCTCTATTAGATATAATTGGTTATAAAAGATAAGGTTAAATACCACCTTTACAGACGTTTTGACATATAGTTAATATTTTAATAAATTTTACTAATAAATGCTTTTGATAATAAATATAAATAATAAATTGCTTTCAAATATTTAACGCCATCTATTTATTAGAAATATATTTAAAAATTTAACATCTTATTATTTAATTTATCCCAGAATGGATGTAATAAATTAGATAACTTTTCTTCTCTATTTTTCTGGAGGGCGAACCCTGAATCTGAACTCTTTTTTTTAAGGAGGAAGGCTTATAGTTATTAGTGTTGTTAAACGGCTAACTCGATAGATGTCTAAACCTTTTTCCCATCTATGAGCAAAACCAGGCTTGCGTAATAATTTTGGCCAAGGTATAGGGTTAGCCGTTTTTAAAAATCGAGCCGTACGTTAATTACTGTATTTTGTTTTTCCTAAGGAATAGCGCCAAATGCAATCTTTGCCATATGCGTTTTAACAAGGCCTCCATTTTGACGGCCCACGTCAATCGCGTACATAAAGGGGAGACCAGCATTTTAGCCGAATATTCTTCCGCCGATTCACTGAAGAAGCAAACTGGCATAGAGAAATCAAAATCGTTCAAGGTGATAATTTTAATTATTTCAAGCATAATATATGTGTTAAATTTTTCTGGAATAATGACTCACCCGGAATCCCGATTTATATAATTTTCAAAAAAACCTGTTTTTAAGCGAAATATATTTAATTTTGTGCGGAGTAATACATACCTACCCTATGAATTTCAGTCAATTTAGCCATTTTTTAAAAACTCTATGAAGAATACTTCGGAAGTTTTAGACAAAATTGTCGGAAATTTTATGTAAACGCTTTATGACTGGAAGTTTCCCGATAAATTCAGATACTTTTTTTGAATTTTTTAAAAAGCGCCAAATTATTTAAAATTGAAAAAAAATTTAATACTCACGTGGGGATATCGGATATATCGTCTTTCTAGAAAGACTCATCGCATATGTGAGATTGACATGACTAGACTTATTTTGACGCGTATACTTTCCCTGCCTCTACCATTTATCACATTCGAAAATATTTTTTTTTGGTAACATCTAACCGGGCAAAGGTGAAGGGTTTGGGGAAAGAGGGGGGGGGGGGTGTATAATTAAAATTATAAAATGGCCGCTAATGTTTGCGAAGCGATGAATTTCGAAAACATATTTCAAATCTGTCGCCATTGTTTTTGAAATGAGATGATCAGTTTTTTTAAAATTAAATAATCTGTTTGTATAAAATTAGATATAGGAATAAGGTCTGACCTATTGCGAACAACAAAAAAAAATATACTAATTTTTCTTAAAAATTTAGTTGACATTTTATGATATTGATTCATCTGTAATCAAATAGTTAGTTGTCAATTAATTCAAGGTTAATAATTTTGCGAGTTGGCGAAAGTTAATTAATCAATATTGCTTCAAACCTTATAAAACTTACAATACATATTTTATATAAATTGATTGCTTACTCAAATTTTTTTTTTAATTAATTTAATTTCAAGGTAAACTAATTAATATTCGCGTATATAGATTGCTAAGGATTAAAATTAATTTTGCGCAAAAAAAAATTCTTAACATATTTTTTTAAAAGAAATCAATTACACTTCTTAATCAATGCTGCGTTTATTTAATTCAAAGTTAAATATCATCATTTAAAATTTAAAACGAGATATTATCGTCGGTCTAGAATTGGAGTGTTCCACTCGATGACATATATAATACCTAAACTGACGATTCGTTCATTAAAAGTGTACATCAATGCAAATCAGCTGGAGACGCCATCTTGGTTACACTAATCACATTATTAAAAAATTTAATTTATTCCTATATATAATGGGAACTTTATTAAAGAATTACCGGATCATCGAGATAATAAGGAAGCAAGTTATCAATTTAATAGTAGTTTTTAACGTGAGAATAATTACTATACGTGTTACCAAAATATCGGGTCCAGCTGATTTGCTTTTAACGACTAGTGTTTTGCCATTCCGGTCCCGGCCAAAATAAGATTATTCCGTTCCGGTTCCGTTCCAGCCTTTGGAATGTTCCCAGAAAAAAAGTATCTAAATATATATTATTTTTTTAAATCTACACATTTGATTAATCTTTATATTTTAAATCACTTAAATGAATCAATTAGTACATCGAAGCGATAAAATATATTATTTTCTAAAAGATTATCATATTTATATTGGTTCTTTTGTGGTGTTAATATTATTTTGAGTGTCGAAAAATTACGTTCAATAATGACCTTATAGAATTTAATATATGCGCATGCGCACATGTTAGATGGATTAAATCGAAGCGACAAAATATATTATTTTCAAAAAGATTATCATATTTATATTGGTTCTTTTGTGGTGTTAATATTATTTTGAGTGTCGGAAAACTACGTTCAATACTGACCTTATAGAACTTAATATACGCGCTTGCGCACATGTTAGATGGATTTTTTAAAAAAAAAATTTATTTGTTTAATTATAGAAATATAATAAGGAATTTATATATATTCTCAGCCGTTTCGGGGAGTTTAGGGAATAACGGTCCCATATTAACATAAACCTTTTCAAATAAAACTGGTGTTAAAATGAATGTTAAGTATATAACTTGGAAGTTTATAAAGGCTACATGTTATCATTAAGTTCGCCAATCCAACAAACCCTATGTAAAAATCGGATTTTTTTTTTAAAAAAGGAAAAAAGAACGACTATTAATGTTGTTAAATTAGCCAGGGTCGGAATATTTGCAACTTAGGAATATACCTAGACTTGACTCCAATAATGGAATTCTGTTCCAAATCCAAACGGGCTTCATTTTACTTTTTTTACAACAAAATTCTCCCGACTTAGTCGGGGCAGTTTGGTCCGGCTAAACTAACTACGTTAACGGCGACGTTTAAGTGCCAATAAAATATAATAACTTGAATTTAACCTTCCTATATATATAATTAAATATTTATAAACTGCTTCTATCTCTTTCTTTTTAAGTATTGAAAGTAATTATAAATTCGGTTTAAAAAATAAATATATATATATATATAAACCTATAAAAATTTACATATTTTTTTTTGTTATATTATTAATAATTAAAAAACTTTATTATTTGTCGATTTTTTTGGTTATTTTCTCTAACAAAAAAAAATGAAAATTTTCTCTTAATTTTTTTAAATTACAAAGGTGAAAAATTCCTTTTGAAATGTGCATAATTAATTATCATTTCAATTATGATCATTTATAAATAGTTAAAGTATATTAATGTTTCCCCTTTAATTGTTGCCTAATTTATTATAATACTTTTCGTATTAAATATTCCAAAAAAAAGAAGAATAAATAATGTATTTTTTTTAAATTTAATTTTATATACATTATATTCTTTTTGTACAAATTTTAGTTTTGAAAGAGTTCTTTCTTTTACTTTTGAATATATTAGTAATTTAAACTAAAATATTTTTGTAATTTCAACCTACCTATAATACTATAATAAATAAATACCTTTATTGTCGCATTCTTATTATCCCTTTACTTTTCCTCTAAATGTTCCCTTTATTGGAATTTATAATATTGCAAAAAATTCCCCAAATAAAATTAGCATTTTTTTTAACTATAATTATTGTTTATCGGTGTATACTGATTTAAAAAAGGGGCGAAAAACAAAAGAAAGAAATTTTTTGAAAAAAAACCTAATTATTGCAAATTGGTACCATGGTGCCACCCGAGATTATTTTTCAGATCTTGCCCGATCCCATAGGAAAATAAAAATAATTTGTCCCAGATTCAATTCCATTTCCTTTTTAAAGCTATGATTCCAATCGTATTTCAATATCGGGTCCGATCAGAAAATTAAATGTCCGACTCATTTCATGAGAATGTCTTTCCAACCGGGTCGGTTTCACGGACAGATCCGTGTCCAGATGGGGGGGGGGCTATAACGCGGGCTAAAATAATGCAACACTGTTGTTGTTTTTTTTGGGCGTATTTACTTAAGAACGAAAGGAAGAATTTTAAAATAGCCAAAATGTTAAACAGTTGTTGTGTCTCTTTCTCCTAAGTAATGAAAAATAAAAGGACTTAAAATGTTTAAATTGATTTTAATTTTATACAAAAAAAAATTGAAATAGTTGGTTTGGTATGATAATGAATGGCTAATTTCGTTTTATGAGGTGCGAATTTTATCGTTAAAATTATTCATTCTTTGATAGTAAAAAAAGAAAAAATTAATTTTTTAAAAAATAAATTAAAAATTCTGTTTTAACTTATTTGATTATATTAAACTTTATTTTTTTTTGCTATTTCAGGTTATAAAAATTTTATTTATTCTTTCTTTTGTGTGTTTGACTTCTATACTTAACTACAATGTTAATTAAAACAATATTATAGCTTAAGTGTTTATTTTACATTAAATTCTTTGTTAACTACCACATCGTATTTATACGTATATATTTCAATTTTATTAGGACGATTTCAAAAGTAAATCGAACAAGGATCGCAATGTAGGAGAGTCCCTGTCCATAAATGGAACTATTTTACGAGATAGTAGGCTAACTCGACACGCAAAGAATCGCTACGATGCGGAAGACGAAGAAGCGAATTGCGATGATACCCAAGATTATGATCTCAAAAACTCCTTATTTCAATTTCCGTTCCCGGCATTCCACTCCTCGAATCTCAAGGAGTCCGGCGGCGTGGAAAATGGACCTTCTTGCACCCGTATGACAGCTCTCGAAAAATTCTGGGATCCCAGCCGGCCTTTCAAATGTCCGCTTTGCTTGGAGTCATTCACTCAAAAGAATATCTTACTCGTTCACTTTAATTCGGTGTCCCACTTACACAGGCTCAAAAGGTCGGTTTTGGACAAGTTCAACGATGGCACAGCCCAAAATATGGGGGAGTTCTCACAGCACGAGCTTATGGCGAACTACCTATCCTCCCTGCATAATTATCAAAATATCAACAATGATATTTGTACGACCGAACCCCTAACCCCTGCATCTTCCCTTAAGCATAAAAGTTTCGATCCTTTTTCTAAATCGTTCAAAGCAGCAGCAAGCAATGAACAATATTACCACCAAAAGAGAAAAATGTCCCAGAAAATGTACGAGACTAAACTTGCCAAATTCGGCGGCGACGTAATCACAAGTGAACATATGGACACGGTTGATAATGCTACTCTTGTGGCGAATAAAAATGGTGCTCTGCAGCATCAAGACCACTTATCACCTACTTTCGATTCAGCCCTGGCCAGCATTGGAATAGAAATGGTTCGGGATTACGATCAAAACACGGATCTTGAATTCGAAAGCGGGAAGGAGGAGGAAAAAGAGAAATTAAAGCGTTGGATTGGTGTGGAAGATTATGGGAAGGAAGGTGACGTATTCGCGAATTCTGATACGACCAATTATAAGTTTATCTGCAAAATTTGCCGGAGCAAAGAAGGAGAGGATATTTATTACGATTCGTTAGCCAAAATTAGGGTCCATTTGAATGAGAACCATGGGTTCGTGGTTACCGACAGGGATATCACTTCTTTCGGCCTCGAATTCAATGGGAATGATGGTGTTGGTATCGTTGGATCTAAAAACGTTCTTACAGTCTCGAAATCAAAAACGCCAGGCTGTTTGCCTGATCCCGATATCAAACGCGATGTAAATAAGCCACGAGTGGACGATGATTCCAACAGGAGTAGCCTAAGTTACCATCAACGCGCATTATTCGGTAGCAAATACAAATTCAATAAGAAGGCCCTGAGAAAAGACTTTTCGCGTTCCGCTAGGCCTCAAAAAAATGCCTCCTTCCATTATCCCTCTAGATCCAAAGCCTTGTTGTTAGACGATTTGAACAAGGCTATCATAAAACATCATACTTCTAAGCAAAAACGCGATGATACTTCGAATTTGCCCAAAATACCAAACTTCTTGGATAGCACCAACACAGGACCTAACTCCTCTTCGTTTGACGTTTCCTCGTTATCCGCTTACGATTCGAACTCGCCGTTTCCGTCTAATGGTCCTCATCCCTTTATGAACCCTTTCTACCCACCTCATTTCCATAACCCTAACCTCTTGCTCACGCCTCCCTCTTCCTCCTTCTCGCCTAACATGCTGTACAACGGAATGATGATGAGAGGTATTCCTCCCACTTTCCCATCTCACCCGCACTCTTATATGTACCCTGCTGCATATTACAATTACTACTTTGGCGGACACAACAATGAACATTCTCAGATGTTCCTCCCTCCTTTTCCCATTAAAGATGAGGAATCGCATTTAGAAGATAGTACCGATCATAAAGAAAATAAGGAAAGCACAGGTCATGCATTTGAAAAGCAAGCCAACAAAAATAACGCCAATTGTGCTGCGTCGTCACCATCCGCCAATCCTATGGTCGAAAATTCGACCAGTTGCCTCATGTCCAACAAGCGGGCTAGAACTCGGATCAGCGATGAACAACTCAAAATTTTGAGATCTAATTTCGATATCAACAACAGTCCCACAGAGGAGCAAATCAAGAATATGTCGGAAAAATCCGGTTTGCCGGCTAAAGTCATCAAGCACTGGTTCCGAAATACCCTGTTCAAGGAGCGGCAAAGGAACAAGGATTCTCCTTACAACTTCAACAATCCACCCTTGGCTAGGCTCGCTTCTTCTTTCCCGCCTTACGAGATGGGCATCCCGTTAATCTCGCAAAACAGTAATAGGAAGGGTTCATGCTCACCCCCGCCACACGACGACCAAAAATGTGAGAACCAATTCGAGAAAGGTGTCGACGGAAAAGATTGGGTCGATAGTAGCGTTACCGAAGAGGTTCGAATGAATGACGTATCTACCAAAGAAGAGCTGGATGAAAAAATTAGGACGGAGACTCGCAATGCAAATAATATCAAAGGCGAATATATGTCAGATTTTAAACACTTGCACCCACAAGTAACGGAAATTCTGACTAAAGGGATGGATGATGATGATTTAAAAAAAGTTCCCCTCATTGCGAACGAGACAGTTGCTTTAGAGTCAAAAGATTTATCTACCATAACGGAAAAAAAGCAGTGCTCCAGCGCACCGAATAATTCTATTTGCGAACCATCTCAACAACAAGATTTCGATAGTAAGCCCCTTTCAGCTATTACTTCTCACCCCCGATCTCCATATTTATTGGAGAAAGGTTTTTTATATCCATCTCAACCCTATGATGGTAAACTACTCGAGTCACGAGAATACGGTTCTAGCTTGAACGCTTTCTTTAACACCCAAATGCATTTGTCTGCTGCCGATTTAGCTGCCGCGGCTTTAGCAAGCGGAGGGCGTAGAGCGAACAGAACCCGATTCACGGATTCCCAGATCAAGGTCCTGCAAGATTATTTCGAAAAAAACGCTTATCCTAAAGATGACGAATTAGATAAACTTTCCAAGATACTAGGACTTAGTCCGCGCGTTATAGTAGTCTGGTTCCAGAATGCGCGGCAAAAGGCCCGTAAGCATTACGAGACTAATCCCAATTTGGCTTTCAACTTTAGCGCTTTCAATGAAGCTAACAATAACTCAATCAACTCCCATTTCACTAACGATGACGCGTCGCCATCTCCTCTATTAGACGATAATAATCTCGGAGTCCGATCTCCGCCGTCTTATTTTGAGGCATCGGAAAAAGATTATGGGATGGATGAGATAGAACCTAAATCCCCAGCTGACGAAATCGTTATCAAGCCTGATCAGACTAAGGCTTTTGGGGATATCTCGTATCTGCATCGCTACTACGAAACATACTATTCTCAATACATCAACAAATCTTCGTCTAGTCAACCTGATGTCCACGATTTCTCTCACAATAACCATAGCACTAATATTGATAATGATATGGTTATCAAAAGAGAACCTATCGATTTCGAATATTGCGAAGAAGATCGATTGACGTGTCCTCGTTGCCGAGTAAAATTCCCATCCCAATTCATCCTCTCCGTGCATAAAGCCCAATGCGACACTAAACTCGATAAAAACCGTAAACCAACCGCTGCCTTCAACTACGGTCAGCAAGATAACGACGAATCGTCGTCTAGCAAAGACACTTCCGCTATCAATGGGCGAACTTCCGCTACACCTAGCATTACGGACAAAAATGTATTTGACGGCTCATCCGACTACGCTACCCAATTGCAAAACTATTACGCCTACGTCAAATTGATGAATGAAGCGGCGAGCTTCGCGACAGATATCAATCCTACTTCATACCTACAGCAAAACATCGAAAACGATCAATTTCCCGGGTATTCGTTTAAAGGGGACAAGGATACTTCCTGCAGGACACCCGATAACGCTTCTAATTCCAATTCGGATCACATGACGAGTGGCGAAAATATCGTGACCGGCTCTACTAATAACCAGAATGGTAGTCTTAACGATCAAGCAACCACAGAGGATGGCAACAAAAAAAGGCTTAGAACCAACATATCGCCAGAACAATTGTTGTACCTTCATCGGCATTACCAGACCGAGAGCAATCCATCTAAACTTGTAATGGAGAAGATAGCGAAAGACATAGGGCTTAAAAAACGAGTGGTTCAAGTCTGGTTTCAGAACGCCAGAGCTAGGGACAAAAAGTCTTCGATGTGCTATTATTCGACTTTCAGTCCTACCACCGTTCCTGTATCCAATTCCATGTCTTCAACAGTTTCCGCTGGGTGTAAGAAGGGCTTGACTAGTCCATTTTTCAGTCCCACTCCGAAATCGTCTAAGCGCTGCCCTTTTTGCAACATGTTTTTCCGGGCTCGTTCTTTGTTAGAGCTTCATGTTAAGATCAAGCATCCCCATAATTTCGACGATTTTTTAGCCTTCATGCCTCCTCCCTCTTCCCTTCCCTCCGCGTCTAAGACCTCCATGGCCGATCCGATTTTCACATCTGATTTGAAATCCCTAGAAAATCGTACTGACCCTTTTAGAACTAAAAAGGCTGAAAATATTGATTCTGCTATGGATATTGACAATAAACCTGGAAATGTATTGGATACAAATATCAAAACAACCGAGGATGTGTCCGCTAATTATGACCCAAATTCTTCATTATCGACATACCTTAAACGACCACTTCAAGCCTTCACTGACGGTAAATTGAATAAAACCCAGCCAGTATTAGATGTCAAGATATTGCCTACGCAAATGGCCAAACCGTTTGACTTGCTTTCCCCTCTAGACTTGAGTCGATCATCTGCCAACAACAGTACTAATTGTAACGACTCCTCGGAATCACCTTATAACAACAATAATTGCATTAAGGAGGCTGATTCTTCCTCTTTCCTCCTAAAACAAGATGCCAATACATTCCATAACGATTCTCAACACGTAGATTTGCAAAGGAAGCTGTTGAGGTCGCGGAACAGCAAGCTTTTGGATCTGATGATGAACCACAAAAAGGAATCGGACGATTACTCTTCAAATCTCTCGCCAGAATCCAGCGATAATACAAGGTTCAGACTAACTGGCAGCAACGATGCCATTACCAAGGATTTCAAGGAAGCTGGTAATTTTGTCTTGTCAACTTTATCGGCCGTAGCTGCTTCTTACGGCTCCTCCAATTGCATTTCTAATAAAAGATACCGAACTCAAATGAACAACTACCAGATTGCTTGCATGAAACACATTTTCAACGATTACAAAACGCCCACCATGATGGAATGCGAAGTTTTGGGTGAGTTACCTTATACCTTTTTTTAAAATAAATCACGATTTATTCGGGATCGAATTTGGATTTAGGAATTTTAAATGCTTTATTTGGCCGAAATTTTTAAAAACAGAGACTTAACTTAATCGGAACGGACCCCATCTTAAAATACCCCACATCATATGGATGATGAGTATCCATTTAGTTTCTGTACCCAAAATATCCAACCAAAGAAATTGAACCTGAATTCGGGTTCTACGTTCTAAGTATCGTTTAGAATAGGGACCCTGGTATTATTGTACTAATTAGGAACGATAAATATTTGTTTTTATTTAGGGTCCAAAATTGGTTTGGCTAAGAGGGTCATTCAAGTATGGTTTCAAAATGCCAGGGCTAAGGACAAGAAAACCAGGTACGGTTACCACAAAGTGTCCCAAGATCAGGAATGGAAAAACGCTAACGAATGCCGCCTTTGCAACGTTAAATACAATACCAACTTCCTCATTCAGGTATAATCCAATTTTAAATATATCTCATGCTTCCCACCCCCCTTATTTGATCTCTGTTACTAGTGATTCGAATAACTCGTAAAAAAAATATTCTCAGGATCATATATTCACCGATTCCCACTTGAACGCCATCAAAAAGTTAATATGCGGCTCAGAGGCCAGTAGCAGGATGATGGTGGAATGGGAAAATTTGGGAGCTTGCAATCAGGTTCTATCTCCATCTCACAAGCTTTTCGATTCTTATGCTAGGAGCAGCACCTTGGCATCTAAGCAGCATATTGCCGCTAACTCGAAAACAACTCATCTAGTCTCTGAGAAGGATAACGATTCTATGGTCGGTGATTGCGACGACAGTCTTTCCGGCGGCGACAAAAATGAAAGCGCCATGGATTGGGTCAGTTTTAATTGTTAAATAATCTATCTCACGATTACTCTGAGATCTTTTTTTAATTACCATTCTTGTTAGTTCCAGTAAGGGAACTATACGGATCGTAGGGATTTCATATAAAGAATACATATTCTGTTAAATAAAATGGCTGAAATACAGAATTTTATAATATATATATATATACAAATAGAACAAATCTGTCGATAACCCGGAAAATGGTAGCGAATATACAAATGCTCAGGCATTAAAATATCTCAATTATTTTTACGACAATATAATGTATTCGAATTCCTCGCACTCTCTCATAAATCCGCCACCACCTATCCATCCCTATTTATCAGCCAGCAATGGTCATCTCTCCAACAATTTCTACGATTCTGAAGGTACTTTTATTTTATTTCTGTGATCGATGATGTCGTTTTTTTTAACTCCCTATCGATTTATTCGAAAGTAAGACAGTTAAATGACATTTAAGTTCTCCATATTATTACTTGTCAAGATTTTCCTCATGAAACTCATTGAAATCTTTCTAAAGAGAAGGTAATTAGTAGGGGTGTACCGATACCACTTTTTGGAGGCCGATCCGATATTCCCGATATTAAATTGATATCGGCCGATAACCGATCCGATATCATATCTAATTTTGTATTCTGTAAAGATACCAATGATTTTAATTTTTAATATACTTTTTATTAGTATAACATCTATAATTTTACTATACCATAACATATGTCATTTAAATATATTATAATGATCAGTCATAGTTTATATTCAATTCAATTGCAATTCTTAAAGTATATAAAATATTTTTACTGATAAATTACTTATTTATATAATAAGTAATAACATTAATCTATTACATAATTAGTAATAAACAAACATATTTGAAATTAATATATCGAAGATTTCTTTTTAGAAATACCAAAATTTCCAATTTATCAGAGATCAGTCTGCGGTGATGGGGACTATCGTCAATATCACTAGCGTCACTAAAAACAGATTCTGAAGAGATTATTAAACATTTTTTTAAACAGAATGCGAAAAAAATAACTATATAGCAGAATGTTTATTAACTAATTATTACTATTAAAAAAATTAAACATAAAAATGGATTTCGATTTTATTTATAAAAATAAATGGTTTTTTAGATATAACTTTTTTTTAATTTTGTTAAAAGCGCCATTTTTTATCGGATCGGAAAATTTTGTAATATTTGCCGATAACCGATATTTTAAAATGGGCGAAATATCGGCCCGTTCCGATTCAATATAAAATATCGGTACATCCCTATTAATTAGCCTTGGCCAGGCAAAGAAAATTTTAGTGTTTGGTAGTTAATTTTTTTTTTAATGACATTGTTTCAAAGATAGGTGGGCAATAAAAAACTGTTATAAATAACGATTTCGTATGAATATCGAATCGGTGAAAAATTTGTGGATAAGCACGGTCCATAAACACGTGATTTAGCCTATTTTGAAAAAATATTTATTGCCCCCCCCCCCGAGATTTCGCCAAACTCTATCCTTAGATGCTTTGGAGGGTAAAATCTTGATTTATCCTATTTTTCTAATAGGCTTAATTCATAAAACTATAAATGACCCTAATTTTTATAACTTATCTAAGAAGAAGGTAAAAAAATTTAAAAATAAATATATATATATAATTTTATTTGATCTAAAAGCGGCATCACCTTTCCTAAGAAACGAAAACCAAATCGTGACCGAAAAATTCGACCAATCATTGTTGAACGAAGGAACTCCACTCAATTTGCTTCAAATCAGTCCCAAAGTCTTGCTGGACATTCAAAAAATCTTGTTCACCGACATCAGTTGCGAAAAACCGAATTTCGTTTTCACCCAGGACGCTAGCTCTCTCAAGGATTTGGGGGAGGTTTATAAATTTAATATTTAAAAAAAAACAATTATATCCCTATATATTTATGTGTTTATTTTTTCAATTTTAAATCATTTTTCTGAGCGCGTTTTTTAAAAATTTAAAAAATCTGATTTTACCGGAAATGTATGCCGCCATGTTTGGAATACCTACCCATAGTAAAATCCGATACGCGCTCCAACATATGATTTAAAGTTGTAAGAGTAACACATTGACGCTGACATATATAGCGGAAAATAATAAAAAAATATGCGAGTTTTAGCTCTTTTTCGATTTCTAAATATAGCTTATCGGAATATAAAACGATTTTTTTTGAGGAACAAATATTTGGGCCATCTAAGGATTATATTAATGTATTTGAAATGTATGCCCTTTAAATTTGGGAACATTAATGTGTCACGTGATAAATTTTGTAAAAAAAAACCAGGGTTGTGGACCCGAATTCGGCTTCAAAAATTTGGGCCACAGACCAAACAGAGACCGATTTGGGCAACCCGTCGAACCCGGGGTAATATGAACCTGGGGCGGGTTCTGACCCCCTAGAAAATCGGTTTTCGATTAAGTTATTATCAAAAATTTCGGCTAAATATTTATCTTAATTTTTTTTTTTTATTTGCCATCGTCTTAGAAATCTGACTCCGTGGTGCAAGAAATATCCGCTCAAGTGGGATTCGTGTGCCGAAAGTGTCATTTGGTTTATCCGTGCGGAAGCGCGTGCTTAAGTCACGTTAGCAAAGATGGGTGTCTCTTGAGTGGCATCCCCGATGTTCCCAAACAAATTTCGGAAATCTCGCCCGAAACTCACACAAAACTGATGCTAAAATTAGTGCAAACTTATTACAAATGCGTTCCGTGCACCTCTCTCCCGGCTAGCGACCACCAAAATGGTACCACCGGCAAAGAAGGAAAGCTTCGAAACATCAACGACGCCTATCATTTCTCTACCGCCATAGACTTTAATCATCATTGTAGAACGGACGCCCATATTTCTTCTATGAACTAAAACAAATCGCACCCCTCATTCCGCCTCTCTCCCATCCCCTATATATTTATAAAAAAATGTGATTTTCATTCCTCTTATCATTATAAAAAGATCTTGGAATTTAGTTGAGATTTATTAATAATCATGTATTTTTACACAAGGAAAAACTAAAACCCATAAAAAAACACACAAGCAATAATTTTATTTTTTTTTTTTAATCTAATTTTTTTTATTTTTTACCAAAGAAATATTTTAAATATATATATTATTATTATATTTAATTCTTATTTTACGTTTTAAGAAACGAATTTAATTAATTAATATACATTTAAGAAAAAAAAAAACTATAATAATTATTAACCATATTTTAAAAAATAAATTAATATTAAAAATAATTATTTTCGATGTCATTTATTAATTCCCTTTTATTTTATATTTAATAAAAAAAATTACGCGCACCTAAAACATTTATTGATTTATTTTGTATTAATCAATTTATTCCATTGTGGAAGAAAAAAAACATATTAAGAATTTAGCTTTGTTTTATATATATATTATATTCATTTTTTTAAGAAGTCATTTTTTGTCACACTTTTCCGGATTATTTATTACTCAATTTTAGGGAAAAAAATGATTTTAAAAAAAATTATATACTTTGTCAAAAATATTATTTATAAAAACAACAAAAAAAACTACTTATAAGTAAAAAATGTATTCCCCACAATTAAGTAGATTCCCTTTGATCCACAATAAAATCACTAATATTTTTTGCTTTTATTTATTGCACAATTTTTGCATTAACTAATTATTTTTTTTCCCAAAATATGTCCTTTCCCCCCCCCCCCCCATTATTATAGGAAATCTTTTTTACCTTTCGTTATATAAAATAAAACAATTATCTATAACTATAAAATATCTTTAAAATAAAGATATAAATAATTAAACACTGTTCCCAATTTAGAAAATCTATTGCTAAATAAAAACCAACCCATTTATTTGTAAATTTTTTATAAGTTTTGGCCAATAAGAGCAATTTAATTTTTTTTTTGCTAAATTATTAAATTATAATTTAAGAATAAATAAAATTTACACTGTGGTTTGTGGTAAGCCCAAATTTACTGTTTATATTTATAACGTATAATAGCTTTATCTGGATATTTTTTTACTTTCCTTTAAATATCAAAAAAGACACCACTACCCTCTGAACTTAAATATCGATTGGGCGGAGGCATTGCAATTAAAAACAAAAAATGAAAAAGAAAACCCTTGAAATATAATAAAATTTATTAGAAAAATATTAATAAAAAAAGTGCATAATTTATATTTTATTTTTTATTAGAATTTTTGATTTTTTGAAAGCTTTTATTTTTATTGGTTGATTTGAATTTTAAAAAAATATCAACCAATCATATCCTCCTCCATCATTTTCAAAACATCACGCATATTAATTTTTATTTTTTTTTTGTTTTTTATAATTGTTTTTTTTTAAATTTAAACAAAAAATAAAAGGGAATATTAGATAAATTATTTGAAAAATGAAAAACAATTTTAAATTTATAAACATAATTATTACTAATAAAACTATAACCTTACCCCACTACGATTTATTTTTTTTATAATTTTTTTTCAAAAAATCATGTTTGTAAAAGAAACTCATATCTCCTTAATTATATAATTTTTGTAGTTTAATTTTTATATACATACATATATTAAATATTATTATAAATTACACAAGATTCGCGATTTTGAAAGAAGAAGAAAAATGGAAAAGAAAATTATTAATAAAAAAAATAAAATAAACTTCAAGTATTTTTGTCGGAATTTAATTTAGTGAAATCAAATCAATTAAAAAAATTCAGATGGGTTTCGAAATCGATATAAATTGGTGAGAATCGTTTCGTTATAATTATCCCCCCCCCCATATTTGGAATATATATTTAATAACCTTCTCTAGCATCGATCGAAAAAAATTCGCCTCCTAGGACGAGAGTAGTGTTGTTAAACGGCTCATTTTGAGCCGATTTTTATTAATATTTCAAAAATATATTCAATATTGCTATAAACGAGATTTTCAGTATTTTAACTAATTTTTGTTTTCGCGATAAACTAACCATTATAAATATTTTTACTAATACTCTCATTTATACTTCAAAGTCCTAAATTCTTTAGTAATAATTTAGAGGAAATATTCCTGGTGATGAGATCCCAACCAGAGCTCTGCAAATTTATTTTTATTATGAAATTTTAGCCCGGTCTTAAAAAAACCCTGTCTAGTTATTTTAAGATCGGGCTTCAGACTGACCGGAAGGGGGGGGGGGGGGTGCTACCAGCTCTTAACTAAACATATGGAGGCACTCCCTCCCTCCGCCATTTATCTACATTTTTATTCTAATATGATGACTACTTTAAAATCGCCAACCCACTTCGTTCTAGCTTTATCTGTGATAACACGCTTTCATTTCAAGTATCTCTTGTACCTTGATAACTGTCCTATTGTTGATATTTTGCTTAAATCTTTAGCAGATTTAGCTTGAAAAAGTTCTTTCTCGATCATTCTGTTACTGTCTCGATTGGTGTTGGTTTGGATGTTAAGGCAATTTGTGAAATTAGACTTTCAAGTTGCTCGTAATTTCTTATAATAATTAGTAAGATTGCTTTTTTTTTGTGAATTAGATTGCCTTCAATAGTATTCACATGGTGATTCGTTTTTTTTTCTTGTAATTTTTATTTGAAAAAAATCATTTTCCCGACCATTAATTTTTAACATATCATGTTATAGATAGTTTCTATTTGTTCCAAATTAGGACACTGAGCTTCCTTTTGCCGACAACTATTTTAAATTTGACATTTTCAACATATCTCTTGTCTCATTTTATGTAAGGGTAATTTAATACCTCCAATACAAAAATTCGCATAATAACGTCACTGGGATGGAGATGGACGGAGGGGGTGGGCGGCGCTAGGGGCTTGAGCCTTCTTAAAATTTAATGACAAATATCTGAAAAACGTCATTTATTTATACAAATTAAAATTTTAGGTGCTCTAGCTTAAGTATATTCCGAGTTATGGACCTTCAAAGTTCTAATGAAAGCCTTTTACTCTTTTAACGAATTCTCAAATTACTCAAAAATATTGTTTAATATATATTATAGAACTCACTTCTTTAAGAAAATTCAAAAAATTATATTTTTAAAATATTTTCAGTACGGTTGTATATTTCCAGTAAAACACAAAAAATCATTTTTTGGGAAGAATATAATTTGAATGGAAGAAACTCCACAAATATGTTTATTACCGATATATATAAATATTTAAGCAGGGATGCGAACCCGGCGAAATTTTAGCCTCGGGTTCGGTTCGGGTTCGGTTTATGGAAGTATTTTTGAACCCGGGTTTACTCCTCCAGATTCAGGTTCGGTTCAAATCCCTGTATTTAAGTAAAAAATATGGAAGAAAATAAAAAATTTTATTTTTTTTTAATTTTGTAATAAAAACAATAAGCATAAAAGATGAAACTCACCATATATGTTTATTATCAATAAATTTACATTAAGTAAAAATATTAATTGAGAAAATAAGAAATTTAAGTTTTATTTGGCTTTTATAATCTTAAGAATAAAAAAAAAAAAATTAATTATAGACTGAAGATATCGTTAAAAATAATTCAAATATTTTTTTATCGGGGTAAAAAAAAAAAATGTTTTATAAAAAAATTTCTAGAACAATAATCACCCGTTTAATTGCTTATCGCTTAAGTGCAATATTTTTAAATGTGAAGAAAAATTCGCCAATATGTTAAATCTACAATGGCATAATGTTAAAATATATTTTTAAATGCAAATCGGTTAGTTTCGAAATATCGGTTAAATGCGAAAGATTTAAAGTCCCATTTATATAATAACGACTATATTTTTATCGGATAATTGCGAAGCGGTAATTTTTGAATTGAAGATTAGCACTAAATTATTAAAAAATTATTTTTGAATTTAAATTGAACCCTTAAATTCTTGTAACGTAATCTAATGGGTTTTTTCCTTTTATGTGAGGTTGGACCCTTAGTTTTTATGTATCTCGTAATTTTTATTATATGTTTAAATTGTTTTTAGTCAATTTAATTTGTAGAAAAGAAATTAACACCTTGCCTTACAAATAACTAATAAAATTAGCTTTCCGTAAACAAAGGTAGCATTTCATAGATATGGAAATTGCAGCCTGAATGGCCTTGGCATGTTAGCAAAAGTTAGAATTTGCAGCAAAACATTTGATGAGGTAGTTCTAAATTTTATAAATATCTACAATCTTATAATTCTAGATGGTTGCAGATTTAAAAGAAGACAAAATATTAATTTCATACAATCTGCATTGAAAGAGGGAGTGCCCATCTTGTAAATAATTTTATATAAGTAATAAGATTTATTTAATTTCGTAGAATGGGATAGTAGTGCAGAAGTTGAAGGATGTTAAAAAAAATCCCAAACTTATTTATTGACATAACAAAAGCAAAGCTATGAACGGATATGAAATCTTTATCCAATATGATTATACTAACTTGAAGTACCCTAAATTTAAACATTCATTAAAAAATTAATTTCATAAAAATTATTTATATGTTTATATATTCAATAATAATGGAAAATAAAAATCAGTGTTATTTTAATTATGCAATTCATGAAAAGATGAATATCATTATTGTCAAAACTCAGTCACAATTGTGTTTATGGCTATCAATGGTTATTATATTGCCAATCCTAATATCAAGTAGGCACAATTTTGATAATGAGATAGCTTTAATTAGAAAGATGCTTTCATAATGGGTTAATCGATCTATATGATTAATAACAGCATTATTGTATGGTATTGTGATGGAGAGGGAGGAATATTCATGGCGAGTAGAACCAGAGTGTGTTCTAGATGCAACAGAGCAGTATATTATTGCCTCAAGGAGGGTAAAGGCTTTTATTTAACATTCGAGTTTGTTATAATTTGGGTGATCGTGTAATTTAGAATTTCAAATTTATTTGATTGAAATGATTTAAAAGAAAATGATATTAGATTAGAGTGAATATAATGTTATTTTAAGTGGTTTTAAACTGATATATATTTAGAACTTAATTTAGATTTAGGAAAAAATAGCTTGTTGGATAGGTGAATAAAGGCACTTGGATATCAATCGATAAAAGAAAGCAAAAAAGTATGTTTAACGCGAATAAAGATGCGCAGAAGTTGAGAAGATTAGTGACTACGAAAGCAAAGCCAATGTGACTTTTGGAAGAATTCACAAATTGTCGCTTACTATGTAAATTTTCAATTTTAATATTATACTAATTTAAATTAATTTTTTATATAACTAATTTAAATAATCTCATATATCTTTAACTTATTCACAACTCGCTATTTTTTACTAGATTATTGTAACTCAAATTT